GGGGGGGGGGGGGGGGAATTATGAGAGAGTTGGAAAATCTTATTTTTAAATGGATCATTTGAATCATTTGAAATAAATATTTCAATTTTAGTTTCAAAACATCATTTTCATTTCAAAATTGAACTGGGCTTTGAAAGAACTATGTTATTTTGGGTTGACTTACATGTTGGTTTGCTCTGCAATCCCTCTCCCCCAAAATCATTTGTTTATATATTTCAGTGTGTATGGTAGAAAAAAACAAGAATTTCCATTTCAGATCAGTCCTAAATGATTTTTGGTTGGTTGGTGGTTTGTCCAGCAAAGCCAACATTTGCTTAGCCCTAACTCTCAATTTCAGTTAACATTTTAACTCAAATAGTAAAACAGTGTGGTCAGCTACTTTTAAGAGTGGTTTACAGAATGGAAGGAAAAAAATGCAATACTTCAAAGTTCCTTTAAGAGTATTAAAAAAGAGTATAAATATCATGACCACTGTGAATTCAACAACTTGCACCCCATTGGTCCTTTCTTGATCTCCGTAGGTATTGATCTACTCAATTCATGATTTTTGCCAAAACCACAAAAAAAGGCAGTTTCTACGATCACTGTGAAAACTGGTGTTCCCTGCAACTTTGCATGGAATCGCCAGAAAAAAGAAAGCTTACTAAAAATACAATTCCAGTTCCTCAGTGGGATCTAGTGGCTGCTGCAGCCCAGATGTTCAGCTCACCTAGCGGGTGGGCGGAAGCCGCTGGGACAAAGGGGAGCAGTCAAGATGATAGCTGTCCCCTTCACCCTCCACCACTGATTGGCTGAAAAGGCTGCCTTTTGTGCAGGTCCAACCCTCTCCACCAATCAGCAGCAAGTGCCAGGGCCACATGAAGGGCAGCCCTCTCCACCAGTCAGAGTCAAGGGGAGAGGCCATGTGAAAGGCAGCCCTCTCAGCCAACCAGCACTGATGGGCAAGGCCACTGAGGCCTATCAGCCGATCAGTGGTGGGGGAAGGTGGGGACTCACCCTGAAAAGACCAAGACAGTAGCAGTGGACACCAAGTGGCTCACAATTTTTATTTCCCCTCCACACACTTTAAGTAGATACCTACTTATAGATGAATAAAATTAGCAAGTCATTCTTTGTGGGGCTGCCCACAGTTAGGAAATATAAATGTAAATAGATAATGAGGCTGTTAAAATAGTGCTGTGAAGGTTCTGGATTGCACAATCCATTTCTGCCAGGAGAGCTGCAACCAGAGTAAAAGACTTCTCTGAAATGTTCTTGGAATTTTACTGTTCCTCCTAGAAGTGCTTGCTATTTTGCAGGTAGAATGAGATTATTTAAGACTCATTAGTAGATAATAGTGTTCATATTTTACCTGATTACAGGCAGTAGGCTCAAGACTTGGTGTAATAGCACAAAACATTTCCACCATGGGATTGTCCATCATCATTTCTTTTATATATGGATGGGAGATGACTCTGCTGATCCTAGTGATTGCTCCCGTGCTTACAGTAACTGGAATGCTGGAAGTTTCTGCACTGACTGGATTCGCCAACAGAGACAAAAAAGAAATGCAGAGAGCCGGGAAGGTAAAATGAGTCTTCTGCATAGCCTAACAGAACAAAGAGGGACTGGGAACTTTCACTTGTCTTCTGGCGTGTAATGTGACCCACCCAAGGGGTATTTCAACATACACCCAGTCCTCTTGATCTTTACACCAGCAATTCCAGTGCAGGGCTGGCCTGTGACTGGGACTTCTAACTGCCACCACAATACAGTAATAATACAATAATAAAAATTATTCCAAACTTTATACTGTAGAATGTGTAGCATCCTACACACACTGTATATTTTTCTTAAAGAAAAATGTGCTAAGATTCAAAATTCAGATCAACAAGAATTCAGTAATCTATACCAGGGCTTGACAGAGAGCCTGGGGCTCCCTGTTCCTTTAAAATAAAAGCAGCTCAGCCAGGGAGCACTGTAGGCTAGTCAGGGTACAACACCTGCCAGTTCCTGGGGCAACAGGGCAAATGAGACAATTAAGCACCTGTAGGAAGCCTGCAAACCATAAATGGGCAGGGCCCTGAGAGCATATAAGCCTGGGGTTTAGGCTGGCAAGACAGTCTAGCCCTGTCAGCAGAAGGGTTAGGAGCTCCTACCAGGAGAGCTACCCAGGGATGCTAAACTGTCTGCTTTGCTGCAGGAAGGAACACTGAGGCTCAGGGAGCTCACAAGGAGCCCAGGCTGGGAGGTATGCCAGTGCAAGGGGTAGGCTCAAGGCTTGAATGACTACTGAGCCCGGAGTGGGCAGAGGCTGAGACCACAGAGCCAATCTTATGTAGATTAAAAGGGCAGAGTCTGAAGAGGCTAAAGCCCCAAAAGAGGGAACAACATTATAGTAACACCTGTGAGGCTTGGGGCACAGTATAGGGAAGGATTGGAGGCACGCAATTAGCCCTTAAGGCTGTAGGTGCCCTGAAGGGCACAGTCGACCGGAGAGGCCCAGCAAGGGGCTGGGGTGCAGTAGAGGTCAGCAAGGTCTAGTTGGACAGAGGTCACATAAAGACTTGTGGACAGCCTCCCTAATATTATTATTTTTCCATCAAGACACAATGGGTGAGAATGGAAGGCACCTTAGGGGCAGAGCAAGGCATGGTTATGGAGCCACCAGGGTGTGTCACAGCTGACCCTGGGAACCCAGTGTGCTATGCAGAGGTGTTCAACCCCTGACCTATGGACCCAATCCAGACCCTGGTGCCATGTCATCTGGCCCATGGGGCTCCTCCTGGATCTATGGGGAATCCTCAGGCCTTAGCGCTGTGCACTAGGCTGGTGTGCAGGATAGCACAGGGCCCCCAAAGCCTGATCATGGTGTACGGGACCAGACAAAGGCAGTATAGGCCCCTGGAGTCCAATCCCAGTGCACACGCCTGGGCAGGGACAGTACAGGGCCCCCAGTGTCCAATTCCAGTATGTGGGGTCTAGTTCAACTTGCAGACTGGCCCCATGACGCTCATCTGGCTGAGGGGCCAAAAGGTTGAGCGCTGTTCCAAATACCACCACAGACAGTCCAGTAAATTTAGGCCTAGCTTTGCACTTTTTTTGGTGTATATCTACAATAATGAACTTTTGAAATGTATTTTTTTAAAGACTGTGTTTCTTTCTGTGATTAAACCTTTGGTAGGGGTGTGTGTGTGTGTGTGTGTGTGTGTGTGTGAAAGAGAG